ATGTGATACATATGCATTCTGTGTGAATGGCTTGGTTTCAGTTTCATCGTAAACAACATATTTGCCACACTGATGCTCTCGTTTTCCACTATATATTGAATGAACAACGTAGCAGCGACGCATCTAGTGGGTTCAACTGGATAGGCTAACAAAAGCATTAAAATGCAATGACACTTACAATGTCGTCGCATTTCGTGCGCCACTGATAAGGCTGCCTGACGGCTGACGCAGTCCTAAAATTCGAATGCAACGCTTTTGCATCCGAATGTGGATTTTATTTTATTTTTTTACTTCGACGAATATTCGAAATTCCATTTTTTTTTTTGACAGCCCTACGTGTCAGTGTGTAAATGAGTGACAGTTTTGTCTACTATACTGAAGTACGCACACTTACGGTGTTTTCAGCATCTACCCTCTCGCTTCATAAGGATGTGAATACATGAACTTCATCTCTCATGCTTTGAGAGTCACTTCACAAGCATTTCATTTTATAAAACTATTGTCAGATACACAAGGAAACTAGGGCTGCAAAGTGATTAATCGCATTCAAAATAAAAGTTTATGTTTACATATATGTGTGTACTGTGTATATTTATTATGTATATATAAATACACACGCATATATGTATATATTAAGGAAAAATATGTTATATTTATATATAAAATATTTATATTTATATATAATATAAATAATATACAAGTATAAATATAAATAAATACAAATATTTAAAAAAAATATATACATATATGTGTGTGTACTTATATATACATAATAAATATACACAGTACACACACATATAGTATTGTAAACATAAACTTTTATTTTGAATGCGATTAATCCGATTAATCGTTTTGCAGCCCTAAAGGAAACTCAAACGTTTTCACTACAACCTACCAAAATAAACATTTGGTTTAATTTGAAGAAAGTATGACTTACTTCTCAAAGTAATAATAACAATAACAATAATATCATTTATTAAAACATTATATCTGAACGAGTATCACACAATTTTCCGTCCACGTTTTGATTAAAATGGTAAACCTCAGTTGTGCAGCACTTATTTTGCCAAAAAATTAAATGAATTGTTATCATTTCATTTGATTACATAAAAAAAATAATTAAAAAGATTCATTAAATTTGATTACATTTAAACGAAATTTTTAATTAATTAATTTAATTAAATACATTTTTAATTAAATTATTTATTTTTTGATAATACATTTATATTCAAAACATAGAAGCCAGAAAAAATAAAGCAGATAGGCTAACATAGGTATTTTTAAATTTGAATAATCAATCATGACTCTGAATAACAATATATAAAACTAATTATATAAAGCTTGTCCACCTAACTAATCAACTAATCAGTTGTTGGACCAGTCAACCTTCATGATCCCAACGTAACCGGTACTGACCATTAACACCCTGATTATGAATAGCTCTGAATGTTCAGAAACCTTCAAGCAATGCCATTTTAAGAACCATCCCCCTTGAGATCAAAGCAAACAGTTCACATAATAGTAAAACGTATCAGGTTACGTATGTAACCATAGTTCCTCGAAGGAACGAGACGCGCTGCGTCGGAGGACGCTTCGGGAACGCCCTTCAGCGTGACCGGCTCTGAATCTCGTGTGTAATCAGACCAATAGATGGGCGAGACGTCACGGGCGGGTGACGTAATGACCAGGAGGCTATAAAAGCACGTGCGGTGAGACCAGCGTCAGCTTCCAGGAATGAAGCAAGCGCTGGCAGAGATGCCGAAAGTATGGCTCTGAGACGCAGCGTCTCGTTCCTTCGGGGAACTATGGTTACATACGTAACCTGAGAAGTTCCTCTTCAGGAACTCGAGCTGCGTCGGAAAACGCTAGGGGAACGAGAATGCCCACGCCGCCAGACTTCCAAGTCTCTGCCTAGTGTGGAAGACTGCACAGCTAGGGCGAGAGAACAGAAGAGCCAGGAGTGGCTCGCATGTCTAGGCCATAGAACCTGACGAAGGTTAGGGGCGTGGACCATCCCGCAGCGTCGCAGATGTCCTGCATCGAGACACCTGCCAAGAAGGCCTTAGAGGCCGTCACACGTCTGGTAGAGTGAGCCTTGACCCCAAGAGGCGAAGGGAGATCAGAGGACTCATAGGCAATAGAAATGGCATCTACTATCCACCGACTGAGGATCTGTTTTGTAGCTGGAAGACCTCTCTTAGGGGGACCATAGCAAACAAGCAGTTGGTCCGCCCTTCTCCACAGGGCAGCTCACATACAGTTTAGCTTCTGCTGGTCTGGATCCCCGAAGGGAGGAGGACTGAGGGCCTGGAGTACGACAGGCCGTGGTGTAGAGGAGGGGACCTTAGGAACATACCCCGCTCGAGGGTACAGAAACGCTTTGGCCAGACCGGGCGCAAAGTCAAGATAAGAAGGGGCCACTGAAAGGGCCTGCAGATCCCCAGCTAGTGAAGGCTCTCTCCTCAAAGAGAGCCCTCTGAGAGCGAACCAAGGCAGTAACAAACGCTACCAAAACGGGCGGGCCGTCAGTTTTTTTTTCGAGAGCTGACTCTGCGTGCTTGCTCCCAAGCAGACAGCAAACAAACTATGTTTATCCCCACCCGTAAACTAACGCGGGCAGGGAGGAACACACAGCCTGAATGCTGCCTGCCCTCGCCTTAGGTGAATGGTTTTGTCTTGTTTTTAGATTCGTGACAGACAACACTAAATAAGACTCACAAACAGATATCAGACTGACACACACACAGAGCGCTTGCTGAATGACAAAAAGCTGATGCTGGTCTCACCGCACGTGCTTTTATAGCCTCCTGGTCATTACGTCACCCGCCCGTGACGTCTCGCCCATCTATTGGTCTGATTACACACGAGGTTCAGAGCCGGTCACGCTGAAGGGCGTTCCCCTAGCGTTTTCCGACGCAGCTCGAGTTCCTGAAGAGGAACTGACTGTTGGCCTTATGCCTCAACATGTTTCCAACCTAGCTTTGAAAATTCAGCTTCAGGGCATTGTGATCTAGACAACTGGACTGTCTGTCCTCAGAACTGTGCGTGGTAAATGGCATCTCTGTGAGAGGTCCAGGTGCATTTTCATCAGGTCAGTGTTGGTGTATTTTTGGGAACACACTCTTTAAGTCTGCGTGGTTGAAATCCCCAGCCAAGATGAGAAAAGCATCAGGGTGGGCTGTCTGCTGCTCACTGATGTGCTGGTACAGTTCAAAGCATGCGTGAGTGAATACAAAAAAAGAAAACAAAAAGGCTGATTCCTGGGAAATGAAGCTAATTGTCGAGGGATATTACTATGTCTACACAGTCTCAAAAATAGCTAACACTAAACCAAGGTGGTTGAAACAAGATGATTACAGCACATGGTTGCCAATCCCAAAACTTTACAGTCTGTGCATGACCTAAGAGTCACGATTCCCATTTTCTCTCCCAGAAGAGACAGGAGGGAGCTGTCTATGGCAGGGACTAATCTAATGCATAAAGAGGTCAAGCCCAGCATCTGCACTCAGCCATCAATTAATGTTGTGAAGAGAAAAAAGCTCCAGGTCTCTTTTAAATGGGAAGGTTTTATGGGAAGATATGCTTTTGCTATAAAGACTGTAAAACAGCAATTTAATGACACATACTTGCTCAGAATACAAAAAATACTGTTTAATGGGAAATGTAATTTTCCTTCAGATGATAATGATCTCTGCTTTTTTTCAAGGGAAAAAGATTGTATTCACCATTTAAAAGTTTTGAGTCAGTAAGATATTTTTAAAATGTTTTTGAGCCTCTTATGCTTATAAACACTGCATTTATTTGATTAAACATGCAATTAAAACAGTAATATTGTGAAATATCATTGCAATTTAAAATAATTCAAATGTTTATA